GCATGATGTCATTCTCCTTGACTGGTCCCTCCTAATAACATCTCCAAAGTACAAGTGATAAAGTCTCCCCATTCTTCTAAGGAGCACTCTGGCTGTACTTCTTTCTTCTAAAACAGAGTTGTTTTATTTTTCTGGCAGTTCATGGTACTTTTAATATTCTTTGCCAACACCATAATTCAAACGCATCGGTTGTTACACATTGGTAGGGTTTTACACACCACTATTTTGTAACTTGCTTTTAAAAATCATAGGAATCAGTTCACTTACATTTGCTGAGCACCTACTGTATACCAAGCACTGTTGTGAGTTGTGGGGATACAGAGATTAAAACCCCTGCCTTCACAAGACTATCAGCAGATAAATGGAGCTCTGATAAATTGGTGTAAAATGTCGTAAAGTTGGTTTAATGTCATAGTGACCTTGTATTGGGTTTCCTAGGAGCAGCTGGTGAATTTGAACAGCTGACCTTGAGGTTCACAGTGACTTGCGGTCCGGCTCATCCTACAGCACTTAGGTAGCTTTAATGCTGTAGGATAAACACTGGACCACTAACCGAAAGTTCATCAGTTCAAACCCACCAGCTGCTCTGTGGCAGAAAAATGAGGCTTTCTGCTCTCCTAAAGGGTTCTGGTGTAGCACTGCTGGGTAAGCACTTGACTGCAAGGTCGGTTTGAATTGTAAGGTTGGCAGTTCAAACTCACCAGCTGCTCCTCAGAAACCCTATGAGGCAGAACCATTTGATGGTGCTTAACAACAATAAAAAAAGATTTACAGCTGTGGGTTGGAATTGACTCAGTGGCAGTGGGTTTGGTTTGTTTGTTTTAAGATGTTCTACTAAGGGACTAAGGAGCTCTGGTAGCGTAGTGGTTATGAATTGGGCTGCGAACTGCAAGGTCAGCAGTTTGAAACTACCAGCTGTTCCGCGGGAGAAAGATGAGGCTTTCTGCTCCCGTAAAGATTTATAGCCTCGGAAACCCGGTCCGGTGTCGCTATGAGCTGGAACCAACTCCACGGCACCTAACAACAACAACAATAAGGGACTGTGTTTGTGCTCTCCCCTATCAAACAAACGGATGGGTACAGCATAGGGGCAGCAACCATGGGCAAGGGTGACACAGGACCAGGCGGTGTCTCATTCTGTTAGGCCTAGGGTTGCTATGAGTCGGAACCAACTCCATTGCACCTAACAATGAGGGCAATAAATGAGAGCAAGGGGGAAGAAATATCTGCTGGGACTAGTTTATTCATTTTCCTATTATTTACATTTAAAAAATTATCAATAATTTAATTGTTGTTAAATGCTGTTGAGTAGGTTTTGACTTAGAGCAATCCTATGTAGGGTTTCCGAGGAGTGGCTGGTGAGTTTGAACCACCAACCTTGGCAGTTCAAACCGATCTTGCAGTCCAGCGCATTAACCCACAGCGCTACACTAGGACTCCACTTTAATTGTGGTGGTGGTGGTTATATGCTGTGGAGTCGGTTCCGACCCATAGTGACCCTTCATGGGGTTTCTGGGGCTGTAAATCTTTTTTTTTTTTTAATTGCTTTATTGTGAATTATGTGATAGTTTACGTGGGAGAACATTAGCTTTACATTCATCCTATTGTATATCTTTCCATTACCATGGTTACAGACTCCTCCATGCATCATCAACCAACCAAATGGTACATACAGTCCCTCTCTCTCTCTCTGGATCTAGATCCCTCAGCCGCTCCATCTCTCCACGTCATCATCTCTGTCTCCATCTCTGGCATCACTGTTTTTCTGGGTAGGGTCCCACACTCTGCTCTTCTTCCTTGATGGTCCCAGGGCCCTCCGCTCCTGGACTGCAAAGTCAACCATTCCCTCCTTTTGCTACAAAATGTCTACCGTTACATTTCCAATCCTCAGTCAGTCCTGATGGTAATTATTCACTGTTGTACCACATGAGTGCTATCCACATCTCCTTTCATCAGACCCACCTAGACAGACTGGATACTACTCAGTGGAGATTCTACTTTCCTCCACACCCTCTGGATCTAGGCTCCCTCTTGAAAGCTTGTAAGCCAGTCACTTCTTGCCTTTGCAGAGGCTGTAAATCTTTACAGGAGCAGAAAGCCTCATCTTTCTCCTGCAGAACAGCTGGTAATTTTGAACTGCTGACTTCGATGTTAGCAGCCTGACTTGTAACCACTATGCTACCAGAGCTCTTTCAATTTAATTATGGACAATTAAAAAATAATACATCTTTAAAATTTAATTATGGACAATTTAAGAACCATATACATAAAAGTAACGAGGATAGTCTAATGAGTTTTCATGAAGTCTCACCCAGTTTCAATTGTCACACTTCACATATGGACGTTGACATGTTTTCTTACGTGACTGCAGTGTCACGGGTACAGTGAACAGAATTAATAGTTGTTTGAGCGTAGGGAGGTCTGAGAAGGTCCCTCTAAGGAGGTGACATTCGTTCAGTTCAATAAACTGATATTTATTGTGCACTAGGCCCTAGTAGGGAGTCCTGGTATGGCGCTGTGGGTTAGTGCGCCAGACTGCAAAGCCGTTTGAACTGCAAGGTCGGCAGCTCAAATTCACCAGCTGCTCCTTGAAAACCCCATACAGGGTCACTATGGGTCGGAATTGACTCGAGGGCACTCAGGAACAACAGGCCCTAGCAGGAGTCCTGGAATGGTGCTGTAGGATCATGCACTGGGGACCACGAAGTCCGTTTGAACCACAAGGTCGGTGGCTCAAACTCACCAGTTGTGCCTTGGAAACCCTACACAGGGTCTGAGTGTCAGAACTGACTTGTGAAAACACTAAACAATAATCGGCCATGTTAGCACAGTGGTACACGTTAGGCTGCTAACTGCAAGGTCAGCAGTTTGAATCTTCCGGTCACTCTGGGAGAAAAATGAGGCTTTCTGCTCCTTTAAAGATTTACCATGTCTGAAACTCTGTATAAGGTTGCTATCAGTTGGAACCGATTCGACGGCACACTACACCACCACCACCAAGCACTGTTCTAGGAATTAAATCTCTAGGAGTTAAATCTCTCCAATTGAAGAATTAAGTCTAGGAATTAAATCTCCCCAAGTGAGGAATGTTTGAGCAGAAGTTGAAATAAAGTGACGTGATTGATGGTCTGTGGGAATGCAAGTGTAAAGGCCCTGAGGTAGGATTGAGTTTGAGGAACCGCTGGGAGGCCAGTGTAATTGGTGTGGAGAAAGGGCATCAAGATCAGCTACATTAGCCAGATCTGGTGGCACTGTGTGGTTCAGGGTGAGCACTGGGTATTTACCAGCTAAGACAGAACCGTGTTCAAACCGAGAAGAGTGTGATTCTGTGGTCCAGGAATGCAGGGATTTTGGTCTGTTTTGTTCAGTACTGTATCCCTGATAGGAGTCCTGGCGTGGTACAGTGGGATACGCACTAAACTATTAACTGCAAGGTTGGTGGTTCAAGCCCACCAGCCACTCCTTGGAAATGCTATCCTGTGATTGCTAGGATTCATAACCAATTAGACGGCATTTAACAACAACAGAACTCATGTGAGCCCTAGTGGTGCTATGGGTTAAGCGTTGGGCTGCTAACTGCCAGGTCTGTGGTTCAAACCCACCAGCCACTATGAGGGCGAAAGTCTGCTCCTGTAAAGATTTGTAGTCTCAGAACCCTTAAGTAGCAGATCCACTCTGCCCTCTGGGGTTGTTTCGAGTCAGAATCGACTCAATGGCATTGGATTTGGTTTGGCCTTTTTTTTTTTTTCAATGCCCCTAGCAGAACAGAGTCCTGATGTGGTGCTGTAGGATCGGCAGTGGACTGCAAGGTTGGCAGTTCAAATCTACTAGCTGCTCCTTGGAAACTTTATACAGGGTTGCTATGAGTTGGAACCAACTCAATGACACTTACCAATAACAAACAGGACAGAGTAGGAATCCTGGTGTGGTGCTGTGATATAAGCACTGGACTGCTGCTCCTTGGAAAGCCTATATGGGATTGTTATGAGTCAGAACTGACTCAACGGCATTAACAACAACAACAACAACAACAGAGCAAAAGAATTCTGGTGTGGCACTGTAGGATAAGCCACTGGACTATTTTCTAACCACAAGCTCGCTCCTTGGAAACCCTATACAAGGTCACTATGAGTCACAATTGACTCAACAGCACTTACCAACAACAGGAGAACAGAACTCGGCGAAGTTGTTGTTAGGTGCCGTCGAGTGGCTACCAGCTCAGTGACCCTGTATAGCGTTTCAGAGACTGTAAATCCTTACAGCAGTAGAAAGCCTCATCTTTATTCCACGGAGCAGTTAGTGTGTTTGAATTGGAGGCAGTCCGGTGCTTACCCTACAGCGACACCAGTGTAGTAGCTCAATAAACAAAGTTTGTTGCACAAGAAGGCGGATGTATGAAGCTGCAGAGTGATCCATTGGGTGGTTGAACCAAGATTTAGCGAACTTTCTCCCATGGGTGGTCAGTTGCTTCTCACAGGTTCTTTTTTTTTTTTTTTTTTTTTTTTTAATTTTTGCCCCATTTTTTTTTTTTTTTTTAAATGTACACAAAAACCCTCAGGAATATTTAATTTTCTTCCAAAGCAATGCATTATTCCA